TTATCTTGACTGTGAGGTGACAGGATAAACCCCATTTTGTGCATCTGGAGCCCACTTGGAGCCTGACTCAAGCCCAACCTTGAAAAGAACCCATTAATTCCAGAGGCAGAAGCAGGCCATAAAAATTCTTAACTTAGGAAGGGAAGAGCAAACACAGATGCACCAGGTAGAGTCTCATCTGTCCTAGCAAAGTTTAAAATTAACTCATCCTACGTGACTCAAAGCAAGGACAGACAAAGTGCATATGTGATCCAGAGAGGGCAAAAGCAGGCAAAGTAGCCAACCAACCAAAAGCCGACCCACATGATTGATTCCCCTGCCCACCAACCATGTTCCCAATCTCTCTGCCCCAGACAGAAGCACTCAGGAAAGCCTTAAAACCAATTGCATGGCGGAGGGAGGGCGAGACAGGGTGGGGGGCAGGATGACTTGGGGCTCCTCGGGGGTCTTTCTCTGGCCACCTTTCTACTGAGGGAGAGAGCCTCTGATGTTGAAAATTATTCTGCAAAATAAAGCACGGTCTTTGTTTCTTACATACGTAAGACAGTCCTTTAAGGTGGTGACATTCTTAGGCATAACAATTGCATCTTGGTTAATTTCAAACTGGAAAAACGTGGTAGATATCCTCTTTGGCTTTAGCTGTTGGTGCCTATATTTGAACAACAATTGTATTAACAGGCCTTCCTTGTATGTGTATGGAGAGTATTCTTTCACTCACATCATTGTGATTTAGAATAGACCTTGGAATTGTCCTTTTAACTATGAATGCAACACCATTCTTCCTTAGTTTTTCATTCCCAGCAGAGCAGAACATATGATTTTCTGATTTAAAGTGCCTCACACCTGTCCATCCCAGTTTATAGGTTGATCTACATGCATTCCATTTCATTTTTTTTACAACTTCCAGTTTTTCTACATTCATACTTCATACATTCATAGCAACTTCCAGTTTTCCAACATTTATACTTGTTATCTACATGGAAATTCTGGTGGCCTGATGGTAAGGAGTTGTACTGACAATCCAAAGGCAGTTCAGGATTTGATATAGACACTGTTTTTGTTTATTTGATGGAATGGGGCTAGAGGTTACAAATATTAATCAAAACCATAAATATAAAACATTAATGGTACAACAAATTGAGGAAATGCAGGTTTTGTTTGTTTTACTGGTGGTAGTGGTGAGAATAAATTCTACTTGTCAAAAGTAATTGGAAGATATTTCTGCCAGTGTATGGCAAAGTTTGGAAAATATCATCAAAGTTGTATGTATAGGCTGGGGAGATTAACATTTATTGAATATGTAGCAGCCACTTTACCCAAAGCTGTATTACTATCCTTCTTGTTGCTATTATCTGTTGTCAAGTAAGCACCAAATCATAGCTCATCCTCCAGCAAGTTGTCAAAGGCTGTAAATAGCCTGTGAGAGGATTGTCCATCTTTTTCCCCTCAAAACATCTGGTGGATTCGACCTACCTGCCTTCAGGTTGACAGAGCAACTTCTTACTCACTAGGCCACCAGAGCTTCCTAAAACATACTGCCCTAAAGGGACAATTTTAAGAGATAAGTAAATAAGGCTCATACAAGTTAACTTGTTGCTGTCAAGTTGATTTCAGTCCTCCATTTGTTTTCTGAAGCTGTGAATCTTTATGGGTCTACACTACCCATTTTTCTCCCATGAAGCACCTGGTGAATTTGAACCCTTGACCTTTTGGTTAGTGTCCTGATACATCAGGCACTGCACCACCAGGACTCCTTTACAAATTAGGTACAATTAACTAGTTTAACTTCTAATTATTCAGTAAAGAATATGGTAAGTATGTGAATTTTAGGTCTCCCTACATTTCCCAGAAACATTGAAAAAGTAACAGAAAATAATACATCTGGCAATTAATACATTCTTTAACTCACTATAGATTTTACATCTTCAACTTTCATTTTAATAACACTCTGGTGAAACAGAAGCAAAGAATATGGGAAAGATGTTCACCGAGGTTTTATTAAAAATGCGCAGGCATCCAACTATGCGGTTCATAACAAATTATAGATAACTTTGTGAAGACTGTTGTTATCATTATGTGTTGTCTAGCTGGAACCAACTCATAGCTGACCCTCCAGCAGGTTTTCAGAAGCTATAAACTGCCTCTAAAAGAGGAGATTGTCCCGCTTTCTCCCAAGGAGCAGTGGTGGATTTGAGCCTCCTTCCTTTGGTTTGTGAGTACAGTACCTTACCACTGGACCACAAGAGCTCACTTAATCATGTTCATGCAGAGCTGGTAAATAGATCAAGAATCAGTCATTTGGGCAGAACAGCAGGATACTGTATGGTTTCAAATCAGTGAAGTTCTGTGTCAGGGTTTTATGACTTTGTTATGTCTGTTCAATCTGTACAAGCAGATAGACTGACAAACTGGATTATATGAAGAAGAATGTGGCATCAGAATTGGGGGAATACCCACCAATAACCTATGATATGTGTCTAGCACAGCCTTGCTTTCAATAAGAGAAGGGGCTTGAAACATTTACTAATGATGACCAAAGACTACAGCCCTCAGTATGGATTACACCAACAAAATAAAAATCCTCACAACTCGACCTATAGGCATCATCATCACAAAAAAAGATTGAAGTTGTCAAGGATTTAATTTTACTTGTATTTATAATCTGTGTCAGTGGAACCAGCTGTCAAGAAATTATATGATACATTGCACTGGAAAAACAAGCTGTAAAAGATCTGCGGAGCACAGAAAAGCCAAAGCACTAGGAAGAATTCAAGATACTAAAGAGCTGAATAGAAGATTTCAAAAGGCAGCATGGGATGACAAAGTAAAATATTATAATGAAATGTGCAAGGAGTTGGAGTCAGAAAAAAAGGGCTGAACTCGCTCAGCATTTCTTAAGCTCAAGGAACTGAAGAACAAATTCAAACCTATAGTTGCTGTAATCAAGGATGCTTTCTGCAGAATATTAAATGATCCAGGAAGTATTAAAAGAAGATGGAAAGAATACACTGAGTCACCGTATTGAAAGGAATTGGCAGACACAGAAGAATTTCATGAAACAGCATATGAGCAAGAGCCTATGGTGATGAAAGAATTAGTTCAGGCTGCTTTGAAGGAAATAGCAAAAAATAAAGCCCCAGGAATAGATGGTATACCAATTGACATATTTCATCTAATAGATGCTGCCCTGGACGTGCTCACCAAGTTGTGCCAAGAAATCTGGAGAACAGCCACTTGGCCAACTGATTGGAAGAGATCTATATTTGTTCCCATTCCAAAGAAGGGTGACCCAACAGAGTGTAGAAACTACAGAACAATCTGATTGATTTCACAAGCAAGCAAGATTCTACTGAAGATTATCCAAAAACAACTGGAACAGCACATTAGCAGAGAACTACCAGAAGTCCAGGCTGGGCTTAGAAGGGGTTGTGGTACTAGGGATATCCTCCTTAGTCACTGTCCAACTCTCTGATGTATAACAAGTGATAGCAAAGACCATTGCCTGTATCAGACACACCTTAGTCTCCAGAGAGACACCATTGCTCTTGAGTACTTTAGAGAGGTCCCTAACAGCAGGCTTTCCCATCACAATAAGGTTTTTGATTTCCTGGCTGCTGGTGCCAAGATTGTTGACCATGGAGCTGAGCAAACTGAAGCTGTGAACAATCTCAATCTCTTCACCATCCATCCTGATGCTACCAATTGGTCCAGTGGTGAGAATCTTTGTCTTCTTGACATTGAGCCTCAATCCATACTGAAAGCTGCAAAACAACATATACTTTGCATTTTCCTGTTGTTGTTCATAAGTGCCAGTTAACTTGACTTGACTTCTAGCAACTCTATGAACAATAGATCTGAACCTTGCTGGGTCCTGCACCATTCTCCCTGTTTCTGACATGCTCAAGTCCATTGTCGTCTGTGTGTCAATCCATCTTGTTGAGGGTCTTCCCTCTTTTTCACCGACCTTCTACCCTTTCTCACTTGGTATCTCTTTTCCAAGAGCTGGTTCCTCCTGAAAATATGGCTAAAGTAAGTGAGTTGAAGTTTCACTATCCTTGCCCCTAAGAAGCACTCTGGTCATACTTCCTTCAAGATAGAATTGTTTCTTCTTTCTGGCAATTCATGAGACATTCAGTACCCTTTGCTAATAACACTACAAGTTGGACAATGAATAAGAAGACCAAAGAACAATCTATGTCTTTGAATTGTAGTGTTGCCTTGCAGTTCCCTAGTAGTAAAAGAAGCATGACAACCAAGTTGAGTTGACACTCAAATTTAATTAGTAAAATGTCCTTGCGCAACATCTTACTTTGCAGATATAATTATGCTCTGCATAGTTCTTTTGTAGCTCAAGGTTTGGAATAAGAGCCTTTGGTTTACGCCTCTGTTTTCTAGTCTCAAACTTACTGACCCTGCTGTTTAAGAGGTATCTCCTGGACTGAGGGGCTCAGAGGAGGAAATGAGGGGTTCCTGGACCAGAAAACGAAGGGAAAGATTTAGGAGCTTCAGGCGAGTAGTAATTAGGGTGAAATTTAGGACCAGGCTTCTTTCTCCTGATTAGCCACTGGGTTTCAACTGTCCTGTGTTTTCCGTTACCATCCAACGCTTTAACCATTGCACCAAAGTAGTTCCTTGGAGAATATCTCTATGTCAAATTTCTGTTAACAACTTGTGGAGACAGACAGGTTGGCCACAAAGACTAGAAGGCGCCTGGATTGGACAAATTTAGGAACTGGAAAGATATGCAAACTTGAAGCCGGAAGCACAAGGGCAGTGGGCTAAGCCCCAGCGGCAGAGGGACCTGGAGGCTCCAGGGAGGGCAGCAGGCCCCCCCTACGCTTACCCCTCCGTGGGCGGAGCCTTTCCCGGGCCCCGCCCCCCGGGTCCCGGCCCGCGGTTATATAACAAACCTGTGCGCGCTCTCCGGGAGCCTCCCGGTGCGGCGGCGGGAGGCGGGGCCAGGCCGCGGGGGGCGGGGCCAGGTGCCGGGGCCAGGCAAGATGGCGGCCATGGAGGCAGATGGGCTGCTGCTGACCCTGGAATCGCTGCCCACTGATCCGCTGCTGCTCATCTTATCGTTTTTGGACTACCGCGACCTGATCAAGTAATAGGAAGACACGGATGGCAGGGGTGGGAGCATGGGAGGAGAGGCCCGTGAGGGAATGAGGTCCGGCCTGCCGACAGGGTCCCGACTCCTGCGGCAGCGAAAGGTGACGCTGGGGCCGCCGTTATCCGTCAGAGCGGCCGGGCGCCCCGGACGATTCGAGACTAGAAAGGGCCTCGCCAGGAGGTTTTTCTCGCGTCTGGAGCTCGGGCCCGAGGAGTCACGGGAAGCTTCTCTTGCAGGCCTCGACGAGGCCCAGTTGCAAGGAGGGGAAGTGCAGCTCCGCCGAGGGTAGCACCCCTTGGCGCCCGGCGGACCCCCCGCGCCTTGCACCCGCCGGCCTGCGGGTCCCCGCCCCCTCCGGGCCCAGAGTGGCGGCTCTGCGGAAGCCGCAGGCCCGGCCAAGCTCCCCTTTCTGCGGAGTTTGACTCGGGATTGGGCATCCGCATGCCCCCCTGATCCCATCGACCCGGGTGCGAGTCTCCCCTGCGCCGAAATCGCGTGGCGGGCCTCCCCCTCCCCCCGGACCCCGGGGCTTGGGCTTTGGAGAATTGTGTTTTGCTCGCAGTCTGCACGTGTGTAGGTTGGATTATTGAGTGGTTTGGCGTTTTTTTGTTTTGAGTGCCAATTTCCGGTGATGTGATTCAGATCTTCTCGCCCGGGCGTTTGGTCCGGGAATAAACACTGGTTGCTTTGCGAGGGCTTGTTAAATACCCGATTCCTACCGAGTTCGAAAGGATCTGTGATGGTGAAGAAGTGACACATCCCTCTCCCACCCCCAGGTGTCGGGACTGTTTACATCCGTGACAGCTGGTGGCATGGCTGAGTTGCTTGTGCCGCCACTTGTGTTTGCAGGGGAGGAAAAACCGCGAGATTTAGGTGGTGCTTGTAAATGATAGTGGATTCTCGCCTCTTGAGGATTGTGCCCCATGGGTTCCTTTTAGAGAAAACGACTCGAGTTATACAGGTTGGCGGACCCGGTGCTAACTGAGGGATAATCTAAGTTTAGATAAAAACCTAGTAACAGTTTTCTTTTTCTCCCTCTAAAAAACATATCTCTTTCTGCTCGCTCTTTTTCCCCAAAGCAGAGAATCAAAGTTCTCTTTTCTTTAGGAAAGGCTGTTACAGCTACAATTTTTCTGTGGCTGTATTGCTTTTTACAAATCCAGCCCTGCCTAATTTTGATTCATAGGCTCTATTATTGTCAGAGTGATTTGCTTCTGAAATAAAATTCATTCTTAAAAGACCAGAGATACCCCCTCCCCTTTTTACAAACTCTATAACGTAAGCTCTGGGGGTGATAAAAGCCTTTATTTGATTTGTGGAAGGTCTTTCTTGACCTTATTTCTCTTCCACTACCGTATCTACAGTTTGCTCTTGCGAAATCAGACCTGCCGGCATTCCACATACTTGTGCCCATTAGTTGTGTGGGTTAAGCGCTTAATCCTGCCTCAAATGCCTGTCAGGCCCCTACCTAGCAGGGTGGAATTCCTTTACGTTCGGCTCTCCATCTTTTCTTTCCTTTGCAGAATGCCATGCAAGATACATCTTACATGTCTGGAATGCAATGGCTGTCTTGTTCATCTTTGTATTAATCATTTGTTATCTGCTGTGTGCAAGCCTATTAAAGGTTAGCAATACAATAGTGAACAGGATAGACCTTGTCCCTCTCGTGCACAAGACAAAAACCATGTTAAATGACACATTAAAAAACCACATTAGGTTGTATGTGGGAGGGAGAGGGCTAACAATCACATTCAAATTGTTGTCTATGAAGGATGGCAGAGGACTGTCGTGGTAGAAGGGGCAGTGTGTTCAGAGGCGGGCTACTTGAATGGTGGCACAGCCTTTTGGAGGGGCTAGAAACTGGTGTGACTGGGTGTGGGGAGTGACTCACAGGCAGCATAGTTTGGGATAAGGCTGGCCAGATCATGCAGGAGCTTGTGAGCCAAGGCAGGGAGATCAATTTTTATTTTAAATGCTCAAGGGAGTAATTAAAGTTTTAAACCAAAAGGATAGGTTGTATCTTGAAGAACATGCAGCCAGAGTACTTCTTGGAGACGAAAATGATAAAGCTTCATCTTACATATTTTGGGCATGTTGTTAGGAGAGTTTGTTACTTTAAGAGGACATCATGCTTGGGAAGGTGGAGGGATGATGAAGGAAAGGAAGACTCTCAGCCAGGTGGCTTGATACTGCCACTGCAGCAATGGGCTCAAGTGTGTCAGAGAAGATTGTGAAGATGGCACAGGATAGGACAGGGTTCAGGTCTGTTTTTCATTGGGTCACTATAAGTTGGACTCAGCAACCTCTAACAACAACCACCACCATCAATTTACTCCTGCACTTTCCTGCCTCTTCTTTCCCACACCATTCAGACCAACTTTGTCAAGTGCCCAACCTATTGCTCATTGAACTGGCTTTTTTAGTATTGATTTGCTGAACTGGGTTGGATTGGACTAGATTGGTTTGCTGGGATCATCACAGTGTGGTTTTGACCTTTTGTGATACCTTGATGTAGTCTCTCAGCCCTCAGTGCACATCAGAATCACCTGTGGCACTATTTAAGTGCACATCAGAATCACCTGTGGCACTATTTAAGTACACAGGTGGCAAAGTCTCACCTGAAGCTGACCCATGGGCATCTCTAGAGCAATAGTTCCCAGGCTTAATAGTGCGTCTGAACTGCCTTTGGTGCTTTCCCCAGATACTCTTTTATGTTGATGAACTGCTGGAGGAGGAGAGGAAGAGAAATCAAGAGAAAAGGGAAAGGAACCCAAACTTAGAACCCAGAGGGATTCCTATGTTTTACAAAGTTAGTCTGTGCATCTGTTTATCTTGGTAGAAAAATGAGGATGTGAAATCTGAAAATCCAACAAAACCTGTTTTGCTTACCATAGATTAGTTTTTAATATGCCCCACTCATAGTCTTGACAAATCTCAGGTTACTTTCCTTTGTGTTCCCCTCCTTATATTGATTTGCATACAAAATTTGGATACATTGTGTTTCATTCATATGCATTAGTTGCACACATTCTTTTCTTTACATTGTGTTTTCATATGATCACTCCCATACATTGTGTTTTACAGAATTAGTCTATACACTGCCATGCTTTTGACCAGCTGATACTAACTGGCATAGGCCTGAATATTGAACCAGAACTGTTGTAGGTTTCACACCTTTTATAGGTTATAATTTAAGTGTGACCTTGTTGGCAGTGTTTCTTTTCTTCTTTAAGAAAAAAATTGAACAGAGGGTCTGTGGATTTAGTAGCAGAGAAGACTCACAGAACTTTAAAAAAAACAACAAAAAACCCAACGAAACAACTACGACTTTATATCTGAGTAACATTTCTTCCTAGTGGTAGAACCGACTACCACAGTAATAATATCAGCAAAGCTCTTTGCTTTAGAGATTGGGCAATTTCCTTGTTTGAAGATTAATTTCAAGAGTATTATGTATTACAAACTTTTGTATGAAAGTTACAGTTATAGAGATTTCAGGGTTAAGTAATAACTCACAAGGTAATTACAATTAGCTAACATGTTAAATAGACTCTAGAAAAAATTGTTTTATAATTATAATGGTAGAAAATGGATACTATAGGAAAGCAAAAAGGATAAAATGAAACAAATTTAATTTTTAATCTTTCTTCTTAAATTTTTTTCTTTTATACTTGACCATAAATGTGGTTCCTGCCAGTTGTTGCTATGTCAGTCGAAGACTTAGCCAGCTGTCTAATCATGATCCGCTGTGGAGGAGACATTGTAAAAAATACTGGCTTATCTCCGAGTAAGTATCCTGGGAAATAATTGCTAGTTAGCCCATGGTTTCTGTAATATGGGCTGTCTTCATTCTCCTAATTGTTAGCTCTTCCTTCTCTGTCTCCTCTGATGGTTCTTCCTGTGCCTCCAGTAAACGTTAATGTTCCCTAGGGTTTATCATTGGCCACTGTTTCTCCCTGTCTGAGTTCTGCTCCCCCATTAACAGGGTCTACACTGATTATTTGTATGCCTCCCAACCTGGAATTCTAGCCGATAGTACTGCTGGACTTCACCTTGTTCGTATAATTACAAACCTTTCCATTACATACCTTATAGAAGTTTGCTGAAGTTAGTAAAATTTAACAAATTTGACAAGATAAATAGTTGGAAATTGTTAAGGAAGAAAGAAATAGTTGTTACTGCTAAGTCAGTTCTCACCACCTCGTGTGTGTGCAGGGGGTTCTGTCACATTTCCAGGGCTGGGACGTTTTGGAAGCAGAGCTTCAGACCTGTCTTCTCAGGCTCCTCTGGGTGGATTCAACTACCTTTCAGTTAGTAGTCAGGTGCTTTAACCATTTGTGCCACCTAAGGAACCATAGGAACATGTTGGTAGAGAGGCTGATGGGTTTTTTTCTCAGATTGAGGGGAATGAAAATTCAGTAAAATATAAATGAGGTTTAAATACATTATTTAAAGTTATATCTTCAGTAAGACTGAAAAGAAAAACATACCACCACTTTATAAAACTTTGGAAAATGGAAGAACTTAGAAAGGAGAATTTTAAGAATTTTAGTGTCCTCCTTTTGCATTTTGGAATGATTGTAGTGGTTTACCCAGTAAGCACAGATAAGCTCAGTTTGCTTGTGCTTACTTATATATAAGTAAGCATGAGTAAGTCCATGTTTATTTTGCTTAAAACTCAAAAACAAACTCATGTCATTGAATTAGAACCAACTCATACTTGACCCTCCAGTGCATTTTTATAGACATAAACTGGCTGGGAGGAGATTGCCCACCTTTCTCCCCCAGAGCAGTGGGTGTTTGCATCACCTACCTTTGGGTTGACAGGGATTGTCAGTTTAAAAAGAGACTTTGATTCTGTAGGAAGGGCCTGTGGAGTTGGAGACAGATGCCAGCTCTACCTAGAAGCAGGATCTCTGATGTGTAAAAAATGTGGAATTGTTCTCTACAGATTAGTAAGTAAGCATGCTTACTGTTCTTATAATCTCACGCAGTGACAGCAGATAAATGAAATCTCATTATTAATGGTAGTTAGTATCTGAAATTCAAAGCTCACAGCCATCCTGTTGGAACATATTCATAAATAATCAACCCTCCATTGTGTTTCCAGGGGTGTAAATGGCACTAGATTGCCTATCTTTCACCTTCAGGTGGTAGCTTTGAATCACCAAAGAGGCTTTGCTACTTTCTTTCTCCAGGCTGCATATGGCTCTAAGCTCTGTGAAGTTAATATAAACACTGAATTAATCAACACTTCAACATTGCTTCCAGGGGAAATTCAGGGTTAGCTTCCTACAACTCTTTGGTTACAACATGTTTGTCAACGAAATCCATACATAACTTTGTTTTTTTGTGTTGTTACTTAAAAGATACCTTATTTATCATGTTTTGTTGATCAGTTAATGTTGAATTCTCCCCTAGCAGCACAGTCACTTATGTCTAAACAAGGCATATTTAACACATAGTTTTTTCCAAAGAACGCATTACAAAATGCAGCCTACTTGTGCTGTGGAAGTGTATGAAAAAGAATTGGTGGGTTCTTTCATTAATTATTTTACTGACATTAATAGGTGTCTGAAAGATATGTTAATGTCTTACCAAAATATTTTTAATCTTTTTTTAATCTATTTAGGGAAGAGAAAGCACAGAAGAATCAATGTTGGAAATCTCTCTTCATAGATACGTACTCTGATGTAGGAAGATACATTGACCACTATGCTGCTATTAAAAAGGCTTGGGATGATCTGAAGAAATATTTGGAACCCAGGTGTCCACGGATGGTTTTATCTCTGAAAGGTACTGGGAATGCAGGTTCTTCCTACCTCATTTTAATTACTGTTATAAACACGTTACTTTACATAATTTTCATCTCTGTTATCTGTGCTGATCTAGCATTGTCTGTGATTCAGCATTTACATCTGGCCAAGTAAGTAGAAACCCAGTATTAAAAAAGATTATGTAACCTCATATTAGGGTTTGCCTTATGTCTGCCTAGCTTGGGACTTATTCAGGAAGCTCTGGAGATTCAAAGGATTTATGGATGGGCTGCTAACTGAAAAATAGGCAGGTCTAATAATCTATCAGGCACTGCACGTGAGAAAGAGGAGGCAGTGTCCTTCTGTAAAGATTTACAGCCATGGCCAACCCTGTGGGGCAATTCTGTGTACTGGATCACTGTCAATCAGAATTGACTCAGTAGCAATGGACTTGGTAACTGCTTATTGGAAGGGCAAGTTGAACTCTTTCTCCCACTCTTTCTGTCCCTCCATTGGGTTTCGGAGGCTATAAATCTCAAGGAAGGTCATTGCCTATCTTTCTCCCTCAGAGGTGTTAGTGGTTTCGAACTGCCAGAGGTACAGCCTTTGGGTTTCTAGTGCAGCTGCCTATGGACTTCTCCACTGGAGCTCCCTTTTATCCTTTGTTTTAAATAAAGCAACTTAGTAATGCTAAGATTGCTTGTGGATAACTTGTAATTTCTTTAAATGTTTTTCCTTTAAGTTTAGAAAACTGCCTTCTATATCTACTACAGATATCTCCTACTTTTTATTGCAAATAAGAGGAAAAATGCTTGACAGTCTTATTTGGAAAAATTTAGTATTTGGAAAAATCTAGGTCCTTAATTAAATGTAGAAAATTTGGGAATTTTTATTCTATTTTGACATTTGCAGAACAGTGAAACTGAGATTTTTAAGACAGTCTGTTTGACCCCAGAATCTGTGCTCCTCTTTGCTATTAAGCAATTTTGGCAAGAAATTTCAGCAGCTCTTTCCTATTTGTTTGTAGATGTATGTCTATTAAATTCCAGAGACAGATAAATTATACATTGCTTCTTATCCTTCATTAGCCTCCAGGTTACTTTATATGTCTCTACTGAAAGGAATTGTACATGTGTTTTGGTTTTGATAAGCTAAAATTGGGACATCCCAAAATCCAAACCACTGGCTGGGAGTTGATTGCAACTCATATCAACCTTGGTAGGACAGAGTAGAAGTGTCTTTTGGGCTTCCAACGGGAAATTTTTTTTTTTTATTGTAATGAAAGTTTACAGAGACTTTGGATTTTTATTCATTCATGGTTGCACACTTTTCTCCCTGCCCACTCCTCCCCCCAGTTTGCTTTTCTCTTTGAAAAGTAAAAAAAAACAAACCCTTCGTTGTTATATAGTCCCCCCCCCACCTCAAGTCCATTCCACTTCACTACGCAGCTGTCATCTGGCCTCTTGTCATGACAATAATATCTAATCATATATTCCTCCTAAACAGTTCTCTCCCTCATCTGTTTCAATGCAGTATACATTATTTGTCCTGTCTTAGTTTCCCCCCAACTCCGATGTCAGTCTTGCTTTACAACAGTGGCACTATGCAGTATTTATCCTTTTATGACTGAGATATTTCACTCAGCATAATGTCCTCCAGGGTCACCCATTTTGAGTAATAATTCATGGGTTCCTTGTTTTTCAAAGCAGCATAGTATTCCATTGTGTGAATATACCACAGCTTCTCCAGCCATTTGTTTGTTGATAGGCGCTTGAAGCTCTTTTCTATTGTGAACAAAGCCACAATAAACATGGGTGCCAAAGGGAACTTTTTACAAAAGTGTTTCCTGCTGAACAGCTAGGTGGTGGGCTTGAACCACTGAACTTTTGGTTAGCTGACTACCTTGACCATGGTGCACCAGGATTCTTTTTTTTTTTTTCCTTTTCTTGTTGTGTACTGTCAAATAGGACCGTATTGGCACAGGAGGAGATTGCTCCTCCTTCTCTAGCAGAGCATCTGCTCCTCCTTCTCTAGCAGAGCATCTGTTGGATTTGAACCACCACGCCTTTGGGATTGCAGCACAACTTCTTGCCACAACTTCTTGCCACTAGGCCACCAGACAGAATTCTTGAAAATAGGAACTACTTCATTCCAAATGTTAAAGCCTCTTTTGAAATGGCATTTCTTTTACATTTCATATTTCCACTATTCCAGTTGCAAATATTCCTTTCATGCAAATATGATTACATGACTAGGTACTTAAAACTGAATTGCTTCAAAGTAGGAGAAGGAATAGAGAAAGAAAGCATGAAAGCAGAGATTTGGCAGAGAAAGTAGAGCTTTGAAGGAAAGTATCCTGACTATTTTTAATAGTTTTTTGATAGTTTAATGGTTTTTTAATAGAAAACATATTATTCACCTGGAATAGAGTAAAAGAAATTTCAACTGGAAAAGAATTCTGAAGATTCTTAGTTGGTGGTAAAAGTGAGAGTTTGTAATAGCTTTTATTTATTAAACACAAAGTTAGGCATAAGTCAGATATTTCATGAGTGTTACTATTAATTTACAAAAATCTAAATTTTTTTGGTATTGCTTAAAAGATGTGTTAAGAAATCTTTTAGGAGGGAAAGAGATCTTCTAAGTAGGTTTTGTAAGCAAATTGTCTAAGGCGTAACACTTTAAGTAAGTTGCTTATTATTACAAAGTGCAGGACAAAACCCAGATTTTAGTATAGAACTTTGGAATTACACAGTAACTGGAAGGTGAACCAAGCAACTATTTGGAATGTCTTAAAACCAAAAACTTATTAGTGGGTTTCAGCTCACAGTGACCCTATAGAATAGAGTTGTGCTCCTCTTAGAGTTTCAAGGCTGCGACCTTTATTGGAGGCAGGTTGGTAGGTCTTTTCTCCCGTGGATCAGCAGGCTTGAGCCAACAACCTAGTGAGTGGCCACCATTGGCTTAAGTATTGTGTCCCTAACTTTAGGCCTGTGAATTCCAAAAAAGATGTAACCATTTTTGAGGAGTATTGATTTTTCTTGGCTTTTTGCAATTGCAGTATTATGGGGTTTTACCCTTTAACAATTTATAAAGAAGTGAAATAACATGCTAGAGAAGACAGTCATTAGATGATAGAACTGAGATTTGAACCCCAGCTGAGAAAAGTGATAATAGTACAAAGAGTTCTAAACAGTGTCACCTACTACATCATTTAGAGTACTGTGGGAATTTGTCAAAACTAAAAAGCTGTCATTGACAAATTCCAATTCATTGAACTCTAGATTCTTTTGGATCCTACCAGTTTCTCACTAATATCCTTTTTCTGTTCTGGGATCAAATCCAAGAATAACATGCTGCATTTGGTATTATACTCTGGTCTAGGACAGTTTTTCAATCTTTTCATAATGTGGAAAGTTTTGAGAATTCTGTAATATGTCCCTCAAATTGACTCATCATTAGCCTGTGGTTAATGGGTGTTTAGAAAGGTTACGTTAGAGGTCACGTGCTCTCTCATTACACATCTAGGGACACATGATATCCATTTGACCTCATGAATTATGTTAGCTAACATACAGAAATGAGCATAAATTACAAATGTGCAAGTCAGTTATCACTAAATGAGTATGCCATGTAATAACCCTCCACATAGAAATGTGCAAGTCAGTTATCACTAAATGAGTATGCCATGTAATAACCCTCCACATAGAAAAAGAGAATATTAATCTAGAAGTCTTGTACCTTCCCTTTATAGTAGAGATAATTGCTTTCCTAATTACTAATGCCAGAGAATCATTTTCCAATTTAAACTTCAAACATATTTCATGACTAAGTATTTTGTATGAATTCTCTGTAAGCATTAGCTGTGTTGTGTGTTGACAGAGCTTGATTCATATTTGTTACAGTGTAGTACTCCATGTGTGAATAGACCACAGTGTGAACATGTATTTATTCTATTTTTGATAGATATTTAGGTTTTTGTGCTTTTGACTTTTACAAACAGTGTTATAATTTCTGTGTATGTATAGACATTTCTTCTAGGTAAATATCTAGAACCTTTGTGTACTGAGTTACCAAGTATTCTGCTGTTAGACTTTACATATTGTCAGCTTGCCAGATGCATTCCTACTAGAAGTTTACATTCCTATTAGGACTTTAATGTTGTTTTCTGTTTTATTTTAGCCTTTTTAGTGGGTGTATGATGGTGTTTTTAATTTGCATTTCCTTGAGAATGCATAATATTAACATTTATTTCTAGATTTTAAATCCTTGTATTATATATTTTACTTGCTTTATTTTACTGGCTAGATTCTAGCATAATTTTAACTAGAAATTATAGTAATGGGCATTCTTATCTTTCTGACCATAGAGAAAGCTTTCAACATTATACCTTTATTTGCTGAAGGTTTTTGTACTCTTTATTATATTGCACAAATTCCCTGAGAGACCTAGTTTGAGGAGTCTTTATTGTTTTCTAATGGATAATTGAGTTTTTCAAATGTCTTTTTTTTATTTTGATTACTGTATGACTTGTATCCTTCGCTCTGTTAGTTTGATTATCGTATGACTTTTATTCTTCACTCTGTTAGTGTGGTGAATTATCTGGATTGATTTTTCTGAATGTCAAGCCAACTTTTCATTCTTGGCATGAACTTTCTTTGCCTGTAATGTGTTATTCTTTTCTTATATATTATTGGATATAGTTTGCCAGTATTTGAATTTTTTATTTTTATTTTACATCTGTGCTCACGAGAGAGTTTGGCCCGTAATTTTCCTGTCTTGCAGTGTTTTGTCAGGTTTTGATATCAAGGTGATCACCTTGTAAATCGAGTCGGGAAATGTTCCCTCTTTTTCTCTCCCCTAGAAGAGTTTATGTAAGCTTGGTCTGATTTCTATTCCTTAAAATAATTATAGAATACACTGGTGAAGTTCAGTTCTAGAGTTTTCACTGTGGGAAGGTTTAAATTAAAGATTAAATTTATTAGATTTAGGAGTGCTCCAGTTTTTATTCTTATGTCAGTTTGAATAAATTGTAGGATAAGG